TGGGATCTGTGTGTCGGCCTTCCTGGTTGTCCACCTTTCCCCGTCCCCGACCGGGAGATTCGACCTAGTTAAGAATGTGCTACCCAGCTCCGGCCTCAATGAGGCTGTGTGATTCAGCTGGCTTTCACACATGCCAGAGTGTTTTGGCTTCCATATGAACGGTGATCAATTATGCAGTCACTGTGCTTCATGCACTCATAAAATCCAGCTCTTGAGAGGCTTACGGTGAGCCTGGCTTTACCACAAAATATTCATTTTCGAGGTGGCGCAACGTCACGATCTTAAGGTAGGTGAGCGGCGTATCCATAACCTGCTTAGCCACCATCTGCGAGTCCGCGAAAGAAACAAATGCGAGCGAAACCACATCGTCGCAAAGCTCTCAAACGACACATTGCCTCGTTCCCAGCACCAGCCCGTCGGCTTACCCTAACACACGCACAATGCCGCTGACGTGCTACTTAGACACCTGGATCCCATCCTACCCACATAGTCTGTTGTTCCCAAACGCAAGATTCATCAGACGCGCACATGCGCGACCATTCGCTTCGTTAAGCTCGCGGTCGGTAAGACGGTGGGAACAATCTCCATCGGTGCGCTCCTGTGGAACCCCACTAACGAGATCGTTGCCCCCTTCGCCATTTGGTTTTCGCTTTTGTGTCGCTGGCCTCGCTTACCTACTTTCTGAGCGATTAAGCTATGGCGCTTTACCTGACTTCACCTTACCTTTTGCAATCATGACTCCCCTGCTATCGCTTCGCTGGTTCCTGTTACTGTCGCAACTCTATTTGGTCCCGGAGACATATTCTGTTTGACTCGCACTTGAGAAAGATCGCACTTCTTGCTCAGAAAGCTAAAACGGTTGCTTCTCTACACTTTGACAGAGACAACCTAACTGATAAAAATAATCATAGCAGAGGAGCCTCGTGTACATGAACCTTGGAACTCTCATAGGCGCGACAATTCCTCTCAATGCAGAGAACGGACGCTCCGGAAAACGAGCATGAGTTGGCCCTTCGCAACTGCTATCTCTCACAATTACTCTCAGCATGAAGCATCGGCTACTGTCTGGTTCTCGACAGCCCTTGAGAAATACATTCATCGACAGCGCAATTTACACTCGATAGCTCATTGCTTCACAACCACGTTCAAGCAAGTTGTTACTCTTCGGGTTAACAACCCCACAGTCCTTCTGCAATAGCCCTCATGAATGGGCGGTGTGATGGAGCAACCTCATCACCAAGCAGGAACCACTCTATAAGGTAAAACGACAGCTTGATGGCAAGCTTATCTTCTACTCCCCTCATGATAGTCCGCGCATTCATCAGGATCGCGCTTTAGGTCCATTTCGTCGGCGTCAAAGCCTTTGGTCAACATTCCCTTTTCGCCATGTATAAGGTAGGCAGCGACACTGGTGCAGAGAGCAACTGAAGTCAATTTGAAGCACGAAATTTCTCAATGAATATTGGCGACGAGCGTTGAAGCTTACGGTGCCATTGGGAGCTTCGCACACGATTCAACTGGCATGTCCGGGGTTCTCACCAAATGCCGATCTTGGCAAGCTTCTTGACCCGCTTTGCGACGTTGGCGAAGCCCGTTCAAGTCATTCGCCTGTGACAAAGATTTGCAAACTTGCCATTTGTTACGTGATAACGCCTGACGATGTCTTGCGTCTCTGCCATTCCTACGGTGGTCAGTGTCCGAAGCTACATCTTTGATAGATGAGCAACTCTCGCACTTCGATACTTTGATCACACAGGTATGGAGAAATTATCTGGACAACGAGGTCCCTCTATTGAGATATACTCACCGATTTGGTTGCTTTGAGTTTTCAGTATTGCAAGATGAATGGTTTTACCCTCTAGATGGGTTGTGTGAACAGCGAGAATACTCCAACAATCTCTGCAAGATGAGTGAGCCACGCGATCAGCTTTTTCCAACCTCCACCGCCGCCGTTGAAGGGTCTTCGTTCTAGTGATGTGGCACTCAATGAAAAAGTACTCGGGCTAAGTGGAACGCCTTTATTGATGGAAATTTGGCACGAGAATAGCCTGATGCTGGCTATTCTGTACTAGCGACCCAGCATGCAAACTCGCAAAGCTAGGTCAACTCCGTTACTTGCCGTCAGGAGCCTTCTTTCTGCATGTTACTCCCAGTATACAGGGCTGTCGGATACTCCATGGAGTCCGAATCTCAGCGACGAGGGTAAGAGAAGGAGTTGAGACTTCTTGCCAGCTGTGCTGGACGTACGCAGGCAGAGGACTACGACGTAAGAGCAGCAGCCTAACCTTGAGGGTCAAGGCGAGCGAATCAAAAGGGAAACATGGTGAAGTTACGTCTGGGAACACTATGAACTTCCAAGTTCATGGTTCGAGGTGTCATATCGACGGTAAGCTCTGTTGGAAAGTGTCCTCTATAAGACGTGACGTAACATTTCATCCCCTTTTTTCTCTCTCTCATCCACAGATCATGTCTTCAGAATTCCAGTCTTTTGGTGTTAAGTGAACACACTGGTTAAACCATGGTGATCTGAGTGTACTCATGCTCCTACTGAGCACCGTGAGGCTCTTCGGCTAAATCGTTGAACGAAAGTCATTCTGACAAGCCCGCCTTCGGGAAGTTCTACTCATCGTCTGCATGTTCTCATGGAACATCCAACTGAGGGAAAGAAGGGTGGGGTATTGGAGTAGTTCTGACTTGACTAGTTGCGCAGGACATCATCCTTACCAGTGCATCACAGAAGCATTGGGTAAGACTCAGCCGAAACTCACCTGTAAGATGTCACGAGTCTTCCTCAAGTATCTCGCATCCAATCCCCGCCAGCACCCATAAAGAGCGAGCCGAAGTGAGAGCAAGACCGGTGCTTTTATATTACTTGGTGCCTAGGCATCTAGTGAGGAATGCCCCCTAGCTTCGGCAGCGGTTTATCGGAGGGGGGGGGTGGATGGGGGGTAGAGGAGTTGTATGTAACAACAGGCGTCAGATTCGGAACAGGATTGATGCACGGAGTCTATCCTCAGACACCTTCGCCACTCTTGAAATACCGTTATCCACGCGTAAGCAGGAATCAAGCGATTGCAGAGATCTAGGCATGAAGCAAGCTTCCCTGGCCGGGTCCAGGCAATACAAGCCCGGTGAATCTCTATCACAAGTCAACTCTCGGTCATTCTCTCTCTTTGGTAAAGGAATTTAACGTAATTGGGGTCATGAGCCCCGTCAGAAATTTGACCTTGCTTCGTCGACGAGTCCTGGCTCTCGAAACTTGAAAGACCCCCTGCGGAAGCATAGGAAATACGAGAGTCGCAATCTGCAGGAACAAGTAACTGAGTTACAGGAGGGGGGTGTTCTGAAGCCGGGAACTTGCTGGGAAGTAGAATGGAATACTGTTACGGGTGAGAAAATGCTGTGTAATGAAAGTGGTAATGAACGCGTTTTGCTCAATTGAATTGCGGATTGAGAGCCGACCCTTGCTCTAGTTGACATTCATCGTTGTCTTATGTAGGAAGAAAGTTGTAGGTTATCTGATACTCATGATTAAGGTACTTGTTTATGAGATTAAGGGGAAATGATTCTTCATGGTTCATGGCTGATGAGCTATGAGAGCAAGTCAAATGGGGTTTCGATCTTGGTAGCACTGCTTGTAGGGTCAACCTTTCGGTACGCTGTTTTATGTTTCAGTTCGCTGGTTGAGATAGATAGCCAGCGCTCAGGTTCTATAAATTATTGATGAGTGTGTCATAAAGTAGTTATCATGTCATGTCCCAGCTTCTGCCGAGAGTATGGTATCTACACTAGCTGCCACTCAATGCCGTCATTTACATCCTGAGAAAGATCGTTGCTAAATCACAGTGAGTGATCGCCAGCTTCAATGAAGGGCATGGAACTGAATATTGGGAGAGTTGCGTCTCTGTGTTAGTCTCTTCATGCTCAAGCAGCTATTGCGAAGTACAATACGTTCCAGCGATCCTGTATCTCGTTCCAAGAGACACCTTGAAGGAAGAATTGCCGTCTGGATCAGTGTCATGTATAGACCAGAATTGTGATACCTCACAATACGTTATATTTTCTAGGCGTAGGGTCCACAGTTTTCTACACCTTAGGCTTGCTAGACTTTCCATCATGGCATAGTTTTCGAAAGGGAGTGAAGATGACGGACGACCTCCACAGACCCACTAGCTACCAACAACAACCCTAAGGCCCTCGAAGAAACAGAGCACTTTCAAAAGTGACTGATCGTAGCGGCAGACGGTGCGGGCGCAGGCGCGGGCTTCAGCATTCTACCATTCTCAAAGACACCTAAAGCTTCAGCGGTGACGATGACCTCGAGGCAGCTGACGGGGCGCCGGAGCACAGTCTTCAACAAAATGCTCGGAATGATCAACATTGTACGGCTCCTGCCACAGGGCCCCGATGCAATCCATGTACCCTTGGATAGCTGATAAAGATTTCGCCACTTAAAAGCTGCACCTTGAGCTGCAACTTGAGTTAAGAGAGGCAAGGCTATATATACCGACCAAACGTAGAAAGTCCTCAGTCTACAGCGGCCGATCTCCACGCGTGCTCTTGGTGCGAGATGCCATGAGTAGAGTAACAGGATGAGGGGTGAGGCTGATGCTATTTGGTAAAACCTAAGCTCATTTTCCCTCATGGATTGGGCCAACCGAGGGGACAAGAGGCTGGGATCGCGGGTGACTTTCAGATCGCTTGCCGAAGATCAAGTAGACAAACCCGTGGCTCACCCCCTGGTCCGTATTCGCATTGGAATTCTACGCAGATGGACACCGAGACACACCACAAGGAGATAGGGTAAATCTTCCTACGAGTTTCAGCAGGACTCCACCAAGTTCATGGGCCGCGTCCGCTTTATTAATGTCGAAACGAAAGGATCGCCTGTCATCTTGGAGGAAATGGAGTATGCCCGGCGATGTTCATAGCTATTGACATCTACTTGGCCCGCTAAAAAGGACCATTTCTGGCCCATGAGAACCCATCCGATGTATATGTCAAGCGGGCAGAGTCACCAGTGGAGATAGAATCCCAACGTAGTCCACACAAATCCAGTCTTCGTCAGCGCAGCTCTCGATAAAATGTTCTCTACTCTGAGTTGAAGAGGCACCGGGACCACGACTGTCTGACGCGTACTTGATGATGTAGAAAAGGGGGAAACGTTGGAGACTGATAGCGCCGCGATGTGGTTCCCAGGTCCATTGAGTGAAACCCCACATAAAACACCCTTGGGCAAGATATATACGAGAGCCTGTGCCAATAAGGTCGCAACTCATTTCGACAGCTGCAGGACGAGATAGCTCGGCCAATATGGTACGGACACTGCTCTTGACGACCAGCAAGGTTGAAAAGATCATCTGAAAAACTGAATTTGGGACGGTGTATATATGTATATGACGTTTTCAACTGTATCCCCACTTCCACAACACGCTACAAGTACATTCTCTTCCCACCGCGTCGGGTGTAAGAAAAAGATCTCTATCAGTCTCCCACGTTTTGGCGATGATGAATTATTTCGTTCCCATCTCCCCCACCAACCACTCGCCCCCGCGTTCTTTAGGGGGGCTCGCCGTCTATTTCTCTCTCTTTACCATACAAGCAACTCACAGAACAAGTCTGCCAGGCTCCTCCTCCAAAATCACCTTGACCCTCTCCAAAAACACCTTGGCGCGTTTCTCATCGCCCTGCGGCACCGTCACGGTGAACAGGTTGCTTCCGGACGACATGCCAGGGGTGTGGTGAGCAGCGACCGGCTTCTTAGCGGGGACGGCCTTCTTGGCGGGCGCGGCGAGGAAGTCGATGATATCAGCCGAGGACGATCTCTTGGACGCGCGGGGCGCCAGGAGCGAAGACTCGGGCAGGGCGGAGATCTGGGGCAGGTAGTATCCGCGGGAGCCGCGGGGCGCCAGCTTGTCGAGGCCGAGGACCTGGTTGAAGAGCTCGTCGGCGGTGGCCTTGCGGGCCGAGGGGGGCAGGTCGTCGTTGGCGACCTCGGCGGCGCGGGCGACAAAGGTGGAGACGGGCATGAAGACGCCGAGGGTGGACTGGATGCGCTTCTGGGCCTCGAGGACCTTTGCGAGGGAGACGGGGAGGGCGACCTCGGAGTCGACGGGGGCGGCGGGCGCGGCGGCGGCGGCCTCGGCCTTCTTGGGTGCCGTGGCCTCCTTCTTGGGCGCGACCTTGATGTTGCTTAGGTCGAGGTGGGACATCTTGACGGCGCGGTTCATAATCTTGGAGGGGGTTTCGGCGTTGATGGTGCCCAGGTAGGCGAGGACGTCGCCCTTGAGGAGGCGGCCGTTGGGGCCCGTGGGCTCGATCTGGTTGACGGCGTCCTTGCCGAGGCCGTGGCCGTTGACGAGGGCCTGGACGGAGGGGAGGAGGGGGTATCGCTGCTCGCGGGCCTTGGAACCGGAGGTCTTGGCCGCGCCACCCTTTTGCTGCGCGGGAGCCGATGCCGCCGCGGGGCCGTCGCTCTTGGGTGCCGACTTCTCGGCGGCCGGGGCGGGCTTCGAAGAGGAGGTGTTGTCTTCGGCGGGAACCTCGAGAGAGGAGAGGTCGTCACCGGGTTCGGCGATGACGGCGATACGGGTGCCGACCTGGACGGCCTTGGCGCCGTCGCCGGTGGTGATCTTGAACATGACGCCGTCGTCCTGGGCCTCGACGTCCATGGTAGCCTTGTCCGTCTCGATCTCGAGGAGCACGTCGCCGGCGGAGAAGGATTCGCCCTCCTTGACCTTCCAACTGGCGATGCTGCCCTCCGTCATGGTCGGGGAGAGGGCGGGCATGGAGAAGTTCTGGGCCGCGAGGCATCGTGCTGAAGTCCGGAAGCCTGTTTATGGGGAGGTCGAAGAGTGGTCAGCTCCGGTTTTGTCTCGCGGTTTCACGTCGTTGCAGAGGGACAGCAAAAGGGTGTATCTGCTGACAGCTACAGCATCTCTGAGAGGGGACAAGTTGATTTACGGACCTCGAGCTGTGGACTCTGCGGGTATTCTCCGGCCAGCAACCCTCGCAGAAAGACGAGCCGCCGTCGCAAGGGAAGCCATCTTTACAATTCACGGGAACCGTTCGTCGGAGCCGGTGGTTTATTCGGGGATGCGTAGGGAGCGGAGCGGGTTCGGATCGATTCAATTGAGGGATAACTTTCAAGAAAAAAACTTCCCCAATTGATTTTCCGTTGTCGGACCACACAATACGAGGGGACGCAGGCGTTTTGGTCGTTGGAGTCGGAGGACGGTGGACAAGGGGAAAAAAAGAAGAGGAAATCGCCAAAGTGGGTTGAACGAAGGCTTGTCCGTTCGGGCGTGGTCGGTGTCGGTGGTCGAAAAAGCGAACCCGGGGCGGCGCCTTGTGCTCTATCTGCGTCTCTCTCGCGCAAGGATAAAATTGTCGAGCTCCGTTGGGTGAGCTTCCTTCTAGCGCCAGCAATCATGGACCTGTTGGGGTGGGACCGGGCTGGGCCTGGTGTGGCTTATCGCCGAATTTTGGCGGCGGACAGGGGGGGGGGGAGACGCTGTGCAAGCACGGACCAAGAAAATGCCGCCAATTTGTTGGTCTCATTGGCCCCTTCCTCGCCCGTTAGATCGGATGACAACCAAAAAGTACGTACTCGCTTTCTGAGCGGTTTTAACATCTGTGGCGCCTTATCGTTGCGCCGCTCTCCGACCTCACCACACCTTACCTTACAGCACGGGCAGGCAAGGACACCAAAAAAAAGTCCCCTGCTGCAGATTGGACGTCGCATATCGATAGTGGAGACACCTTCCACCCCGGTCGTCAAGACGTCTGATGCTCCACAGAAACTTTTCTGGATAGCTTCAATTTCCACCACGTACGATATCCCGCGACAGCTTGACGCATTCCTGCCGGGACCAATTGAGCCACGGCCACTGCGGCGCAAACCCCCCAAACCTCTCTTTTTTTTCTGTATAATTGGCTTCATTTCATAGGTCTTCTGTCACCACCACCACCAGTAATCCGCAACCATGGCAGCCTCCTCGAGAGGCATGAGCCTCTGCCTCCTCCTCGCCTCCCGACCCGGGCCCCTCTGCGCGACGACAACGGCAACGACACAACCCCTTCTCCCCCGCCGACTCTTCAGCTCCCTGAACCCCCTCCGATACGCCGCAAAACCCTCGCGCACGACAACGATCCCAAACAACCTCACCCGCAGCGCAGTCTCCAAACCTCATCCTCCTTCGAAATCCCCCCTCCCGTCAACATCACCAAAGACGACAACGAACCCCGCGGCAGCACCCCAAGGCACCGGCGCCGGCGCCACCGCAGGCTCAGCCTACGCCCTCGCAACAACCCTCGCCCAGCGCCCCCAACCAACAGTCCTCTACGAAGCCGCCTCCCACCTCTGGATGAAAGTCTCAGCCTGGTCCGCCGCCACAATGTTCTACAGCTACGCCGGCGTAAACTACTACTTCACCCTCCTCGACCCCCCTCCCGACCTCGCCGCCTGGGTCCCGCACGCCTTCGCCCTCATCTGCGTCGCCACCGCCGGCTTCGGCTCCTACTTCCTCTTCAACGCCCGCAACATCGTCAAGATCATCCGCGCCGTGCCGACGGCTTCCCTCTTGAAGTCTGCGGGCGAAAAGTCCGCCGCCAGTGTGCTGCCCCTAGGCGTGAGCAGCGCAAAAGCAACACCCGTCGTTCTCGAAATCACATGCGAGCGCATCCTGCCCGGAACCCCCAAAAAGTTCCTCCTCGCGCCGGACCAGGTCACCATCCCGACCCGGATCTACTCGCCTTTCCTAACGCCCACGCCCGCCATGGAGAGGGCCGCCGCGCGGCAAAGGCAGGTGCAGGCGAGAGCCGACTGGGAGTACGACAAGGGACATCTCATGACGACGCCGTTCCGGCATGCGAGTAAAGGATTCAAGGCGGCGTGGTACGGCATCCGGAGGGCCATCACCAAGGAAGGGTTCCTGAGGATGGAGGCGGGCGGGGAGAAGCTCAAGCTGGACGTCTCTACAGGCTGGGCGCTGGATGATGGACGGGCTATTGATCGTCTTGTCAAGATTGGGGCGTGAGATGTAGGTATGTATATGTGATTGATGGGTTCGTGGATGATGGGAGAATTCGCACTTGCCCTGAGAGGGAGGTTAGCTGTTCTCCTATCACTGAACGAGGTTGTACAATACTGTATCATGATTGGATCCCAATGTAGACGAGATTCTAGCAGATTTAATGCTCAAAAGATTGGACAGAGACGTCTCCACGAACAAGATAGCTGAGAGAAAACTAGAGAGAGCCGATGTCTCAAACATTCACAGTAGACACTGGGCTAGTGTCGCGCGTTAACTTACTTTTGACATCCAGAGTCCCTTTCACCCACGACTCCAGAGCGAGACGATCTACACACAACACAAACCTCACTGTGCCATGCTCTGAGCGCAGACGCGATGTACCACTCACCAAGACCTAGCGAGAACCGAAGAGGAGAACCAGCCTGCCCCGAGCCGGTAGACGTCGAGGCTGCCCGGTGCCAGTATCCCCCTCCAAAGCCACTTCGCAACGTAAATGTCACCAACCTCAAGTCCCAAAATCTCTTCAAATCACACGGAAAGCAAAGACGCGCTGTTGCCGCATATTGCTGGCGAACCCCGCCGAACGTACCCATCCACAGCATTCTCTTCGCGATGCAGGAGTAAGAAACCGTCGATAACATCGTCGATCTTACATAGTCATGCTGCATGCTTCAACCGGGCCCAGACCGACAGAATGTAAGCAGCCCTATAGAGCTCCCCTCTCGGAACCCGCAAAACGCATCTCGATCTAACAAAAGTCGTGGGCCTGACATGGCAAGAAACACAACTGCCTTGGTTCCAGCAAGGCGTACGTGCATCCCGAGGGAGCCAAGTCAACATCTTCACCAGACCGCCCCTTACAGCCTTACCGTTACCCCTCCATGTGCCTCAGAGCGCCGCTTTGCTTGAAGAAAAAAACAAGTGCTTTCTGATATTCACCGCGTACAGAACGGGAGGGGCAGAAGGGCCACGGCCACAGATCGGCCTAGAGCCCCTGATCGGCCCTCTCTGGTGTCCCTGATGATCGGTCATACTAGGACGACCTAATTCTATGTTTGGAAGCTGAGTGTGTCTCGCCTTGTCCTTGTCCTATATGGCGTGCATCGGAAAATGAGAAAGTAGTGTGTACACACGGTCTCTCGACACCCCCAACCTCGGGAAGTCGACTCCGACCCAACCGCCGCGGCGGGCATTTTCCCTGATGTTCATCGTTCCGGGTCCAGAAGGTGAATGGTATTTGTGGGAATTCGGAAGCTGGAAACAGTCAAGAGATTCTTGGGGTAAGATACGTGGACTGTGGACTGAGCCAGTGGCTAGCGCATGTCGAAAAGCAGGATGCCACAGTAGGTCCAGATCGAGGAAACGCCTAGGGAATCGCATCACGAACCACCGACAGCGTGGTTGTTTGCCGGTGGCGGCTGGGGTGAAGCCTGTGTAAGTGCTGTCCATGTAAGTGGCCGGCCGTTGCATAGAAGTCCGACGAAGGAAAAACAAAACTTCCAGAAAAAAAAGTTGGCTGGCAAGGCTGGTGCTGGCTTAGCTGGCGGCTACAAAGTCCCACTTGGCAAGGTGGAATAGTGTATACATCGGGTGGCGGGCGATCTATGGCGGTCAGTCAGCCTCAGAGTTTACGGGGGCGAAACGAGGCTATCCCTGCCTGCCAGAAGCCACGTCGAACCTTCAACGGCTGATCAACAGACATTTTCCAAATGGCGTAGTGAGGGGCAACTGAAGAAATACAAGGTCCTCCCTCTGCCCCTCCGACGAGCTGATGAGCGTTCGTCCTGTCGCAGAGAAGGACCTGTCGATCGCCTCGTCTTTGGAGAGAGGGGGAGTTGCAGCAGGCGGGGTACAGACTTCGGGTGAGGCCATTCCCAAGAACCAGTAGAGAGAGGTTACAAAGTGGTGAGGTATAGGACACACTGCCGGGCGCTTGCTGAGCGGTGTGATGGTAAGCGGCCTTCTCACCGTGCGGGATTGGTTGCAACGAATGGAATTCGACATTTGCCTCCGCTGCCGGACGGAGGATTGGAGAAGAGTAGATGTTGCGGGCTTTGGTGGTTCGGTCTGGCGGCCACCTCACGCTCAGGAATTATCCTTCGTTCCACCCCGCCCTTCAAACGATGCCGTCATCATCTCTCGAGTCGGTCGTCCAACAATGGTCAGGGTTGAGATCATGCGTGATGTTGGCTGATGGGGGGTCCTAGTCTCCACCGAACTGAGTGGAACGACTCATGCCCCATTTTACTCTGATTATTGGTATCGCTATATCGCATCGCACAGCGTAGCGGGACCTACGCTGGCGGCAGACCGAACTCGGGCAATGGCTGGCCGTTGTAAATAGGGGGAACATGCAGCAGGACTCGATCGCATTCCCCACCGGCTGAAATGGCGGCTCCGGACGCCGGCATGAAGGCCACCGAGTGCCTAATTCCGGGCGTCTGCATGCAGTGAGCGTGTGCTCTCTGCCCGTTCAAAGAACGAGAAGCACAAGGGCAGGTCGTCTGCAACTATTCCATTATTCAAAGAGAATGAGAAAATCTAAGGTGGGTTGCACCACAGTTCGAGGCAACACTGAAGTCGTACAAAAAGTACGGATGGCATTTGCAGTGTGGAAAATTGTAAAGACATAGTGAGGGGTCCTCGAGCAGCTGCCCCAAGTCTGAATACCAGGCATGTCCCGAAGTTGACTGGCGCGTGTCTGCGGGTAAGCGTAGGGAATGTATCAAGCATGAAGCGATGGATGATGTTTCCCCGCGATCCTCCATCACAACATGACGCCTACCATGGTTGGTGGTTGTAGAGGCGTCAGATCATCAGCTCAAGATGGTTCGAAGGCAATTCATACGATGCCCGCAAAAAAGAAACGAAAAAACCCCCACGGCTGCACATTGGGTCCTCGACTACCTGGTTGTTGACGTGCGAGAGCGGAGGCCGTAGCAGAGGATAGCGCAAGAGACAAGGTCCGGGGTCTGACAGGAGCCTACCAGGTATTAGTGTACTCATTGTGTTAGTGTAGTGTAATTACTATGTGGTGCAGACTCCCGAGATGAGCATACCTATACCTTAGTGTGGGGGGGAATGAGCAGCCTTCCGATAGATAGCATTCGACAGTAGCCCCGTTTGGATACTCAGTAAACACCGCGGACTTATTGGATCAGAAAGCTGAAAGTGTGGCATCTCGAATGGAGCCGCTGTGGTGTGCTGCCGGCAGTGCAAAGACAAGAGAAACGGAGCCTCTAAACCTCCATCACACCTCAGCCGAGTAAAGGTTAAAGATAGTGTATCTGAATACATGCGCCGACGAGTGTCTGCATGAGGCAAGGCCTTGTATACGTACGGGAGCTGGTGGTATGGGATGGATTGAGGCTTCACAATGGATCCCGTTCAACAGGGACTCAAGAGGCTCCGCCGAGTTTCGCTTCCATGCCGGCCGCCATGAGATCAGATGGAAGCTGAGCCGAGATTCTGCCAAAGAAGGTAGGCGACGCTTGAGGGCGTCTATTTGCGGTCCAAGAACAGGGAGAGAGCGGGAGAATGAGGATGCGTACTCGGGTTGCGTGGTGCAGGCGGGAATGGCGTTTGGTTGGCCGCAGCCAACGGTCATCGCCAATTCCCCACGAGATCGAGGGGCAGCTCCAGGGGTCCGAATCAATGCCCCTCCTTTTCTTGCACCAGACCGCAGCTGCGCTCAGAGATAGGTAGAGACACAGAACAGCCCGTGATTGTGTGTACACTTGACCGTGGCACTGCTCGTCATGAGCCGCCAACAGCACGAGCACAGACCATCACAACCCTCATGTAAGTCAGGGTTGAAGTCAAGGTTGAAGTCGACAGTCGAGAAGTCAACTGGTTCGAGCAATCCCAGCTTCCTGCTCTAAGACGTACTGGGAATAGCGTCATTCCTCCTCTGCCTTCCTAGTGGAACAAGGCCCGATGACCACCCCGGTCGTCCTCCAGTCGTGCGTCTCGGAGAATCCACTCTTTGCAGTCTTTCTCGCATAAAACAAAAAAAGGTGTGCGAGCCTGCAGGAAAAAGAGAATTTTCGCGACGGAGCGGTGAGCGAGCAATCGGCGTATCGCCTCCCTGTAGCCTCTCTTCCCCCCCTATGAGACGACAAATGTGCATTCCTCGCCCCCCAGAAGCGGCTGCATCTTCAAATCATGTGCCTCAACTCTACTGTCACGTATTAGCGGTTGAGTTCCAGCTCTCGGCGAGCTCGGTAAGGACCGTAAAGTAGACGGCGCATTCTTGGAGGATCTTCAGGGTTCAAGCAGCCTTGTTTTTTGCACCCTAGATCTGAATCGAACCTTGCTGCGAGAGTAGCGCCATTGTTCATACCCGTGTCTGTAGTACGGTAATAGCGGAATTCCCATCTTTCGCGTCTGGAAGACGAGAACAGAAGTGAGGGTCCCGATCCGTGGTCGCCAATCTTGGCGTATGAACAAACGTCAGACTTTAGGTGAAGCCGTGGATCCTGCTGCAGCTTATACAAATGAGCTTTGATAGTGTAAATGGCAAAGTTGCATTAGTGCTGTGGCTGGCGTGAACGACACCTCAGGCGTAGTGTACTGTAGCTATGTGATGCTATGCTCCTCCGGCCATCCGTCCAGAATTTCCTGGCGAAAGGCAGGCCACTTCTTCCCGGCTTGTATGAAGAACCCGTCAACAACCAAGGCAAGCCAGTCTTCCCTAGCTGGGTAGCGGGGGGTTTGGTTCGTCGGGATCCCATTTGCAGTCGACACGTCAAGTTTCCAAGCCGCAAGACTCGGTCACTTATGGAACCTCTTCGGTAGCCCAGGTCCGGTGAGATCGACGGCTGTTCGGCAGTCCACCGCTCAACGGTGAGTATCAGAAAAACGACTCACGGTGTGAAACGTGAATCGCACAGCTGGACGATCTCTCTTGGCTGGCGAGTCAGCGGTCCTCCCGCTTCCCAGTCCCCAGACTCATAGACTCTCCAGCCTCGCATGTCCGGCCCATCATTGGTGGGCGGCTCCGTTGCACCATGGATGGGCTCACATGCTCGCAGCGGCGCCGCTCATCCCTAGTCCATTAGCGACGCTCCCTTGGCATCGGAACCTGTTCCAACTTCCAAGGCATCTGCGAATTCGGTGGTTGGCCGTCGTGGTTCATTCTTCTCGGCTCGGGTTCAACGACATAGTATCACGGCTTCGTCCACGATCAAAGGCGATTTCTCCCCGTCTGCAGGCCTGGACTCTCGGATAAGACCACGCACCCCGATTAGGATGCGGAGGAAAATGTCTGAATGTCAAATGATTTTGACGCCTGCAGGTCAAAAGTCGCGAACCTCGTAGGCGGCCTGGTTCGGTCTGGGCCATGTTTCACTGATATGGACAAACCAACGTCGAATGAGGAGACAGCATCTGCCCTCCATCATGTCTTTTAGGCTCGAGGTGGTGCTGTAGTGTAGTCTGGTAGTGCACCACCTGCATCCTCCCACCGCCCTTCTCAGTGCAGCGAACCACACCAAACAAGAGCCATCCCTGAGAACGAGCCTCAAGTGCCTGATGATCGCTTCTCTCGTGCCTGGGTCAGCGCAAACGCCAGAATATCAGTAGTCGTCTGAGATATGGGACTGACTCGCTTTACAGCGATTGCG